GTGCGGGTGTGGCCGAAGAAATTGTGGTGGATGTCCATGTCGGCCGGGTGGCACCCGCCAGCCTCATCGCGAACTCGTGCACCGTGGTCGCCGGCCCACACGGGGTGACACGCGCGCGCGCGCGTGTGCCCGTCCACCAACCCTGCAGGCAGCATCGTAAGAGGAGAGGCTCAGCGCAGTCTCCAACGCGTTGGGAGTGTGGGGGGGGGTCGCCGTACTCTTGGCCAGGACCACCGCCTTGAAGGTGGCATCGATGCGTCCACTTCGTAGGGAGCTGAGCTCAGCTCCTCCTCAGTGCCCACGGCTGCGATGTTGCCCTCACGATTATGGTGCCATTCTCAATGATTACGGGTCGTGAGCAGCTTACTGGTTAAGTCAGTAATTGGCTCTTCTTTCAAAGAATCGCAACTTTCCATTGAGATTAGGGGAAGTGCACCTCATCCTGAAAGCGCTGACCGGCCCCGAAAATTTGGCGTTTGCCAAATGGCTTTATTGTGCACAAGTTTCGTAGTTTGTTTTTGTTTTCCGAAACAAGTCTGAAAATAAGCAAAAAACTCAGTGTGTGGTGTGTGTGTACCTCGTCGCGCACGGTGTCGTCGTCGTCTTCGAGCAGGCGCACAACGATCGCCCGCGCGGTCAGCGAAGTCTGCTCGAGTGCCTGCTCGACCTCCTTGCCTGCTCATTCACTCACCCGGGTATAAGACGAACGCGTCGTGCGTGTGCGTGTGCGTGGGCGTGTGCGATGAAGCGCGCGGGGAGGGGGCACGTACCAAGCTTCCGCCCACGTGCCGGGCTTGTAGTCGCAGATGCCCGAGGCGTGGATGGAGCGGGCCACCGCCAGGCGGAAGGTCCACTCCATCTCGGGCACCGAGCACTGCCTGCTGGATGATGCCGGACCACACCGACAGCATGTCCCTCAGCGCCCCCGCGCCGAGCTTCTCCCGCGCCTCCTCCGCCCTGCCCAGCAGCTGCGTCCGCCTGTCAGCGATCCAGTCTCGCTCACGCACGACACGCACCACCGCACACGTGTGTGCGCACACGCACCTGGGAAAGGTAGACGCCCATGTGGGAGACGATGTTCTCGCGGGTCGCGCCGTTGGGCCATCGGTCGAGCAGCCCGCGCAGGTGCGCGAAGAAGGTCTGTGTGTCGAGCGCGGAGCCGACGGCGGCGTCGCCCAGAAGCACGCTGTCGGGCAGCGGGACGGGGAACACGAACAGGAGGGCCAGGAGGTGCTTGATGCACGTGTGGTGCGACTCCGTGTGCAGCCGCTGCAGCAACGTGCCCTGCACGCGCTGCCAATCGAACCTGCGCCGGCACAATGATGACGTCAGCACTGCTTTCTCTGTGTCGTGTGTGTGTGTGTGTGTGTGTGCGTGTGTGTGTGTGTGTTGGTGCGTACAGGAGTGAGGTGTCGGACTGGAGGGCCTTGAGGGCAAACTTGATGGCGAGCGCACGCACTTCGTAGTCCAAGTCCTCGATCAGCTCGAGGAGGCGCGTTGTGGCCTTCTCCCGCTCGCCGCCCTCAACCAGGGCCGCGAGCTCGAGCGTGGCCGACATGATGTGGCCCATCGTGTTCACCAGCGGCTCCGTCGTTTCTACGCCATCACGCGTCAGCACAACACGACACACACCGCACACACCACACACGGGGGGGGGGGCAAGCGCACCGGGCTTCATGCGGAGAGATGAGACCCAGCGGGTGGAGCGCTCCTTGAGGCCGAACGAAAAGGGGACGAGCGAGGCGACGATGGACAAGAATTCGCTCTGGACGGGCGGGCAGACAACGCCCAGCAGGAGCACTTCCTTGGCCTGCACGCTCGCCACCGCCGCCTCCACGATCGCGGCCTTGAGGGCCGCGTTGTTGGAGGTCAGGTGGGCCTCGAGAATGTGGCACGGATCTGGAGCAGCGTGCCGTGCGCCAGGTTGTGGTCGATGCCCGCTGGTGACACGCACACACACGCACGCACACGCACGCACACGCACACGCACACACACCATCACACACAGGATCAGTGGAGTCTCTACACCTCGATCGCCACCTTACATGCACAATAAAAAGAAATGATGAATAATAAAAATAAACAAAAGAAGGTGGTACCGGCGTGGTCGGGGATGGGAGGCGAAGAGGGAGGCGATGAAGGCGGCGACGTGCTCGGGAGGGACGAGAGG